TTCCTGTTAGGGTGATGAGGCACTGGAATGGGTTGCCCAGGGAAGTTGTGAATGCTCCATCCCTGGCAGTGTTCAAGGCCAGGTTGGACAGAGGCTTGGGTGGCATGGTTTATTGGGAGGTGTCCCTGCCCATGGCAGGGGTGTTGGAGCTAGATTATCTTAAGGTCCTTTCCAACCCTAACTATTCTATGATTCTATGATTCTGTGGCATGTATATCACACAAAATAACCAGTTAACTACACTTTTCTATTATGGAGATTTCACTTGGTAGGTATCGGAAGAGCCCTACCTCTCTATTTACACAGGAGTAAGTCCTTTAGTTGTCTTTGCTGAGCAGCAACAAGGCAGTTTATTCCTCACTTGAAGTGGAGGTTCTGCTGTCTATTTCTGTGATTATCTCTATTAATACTTGAACAATATTAAACTTAATGCAGTGGTGACCTATACTACTTCATTTCAGATGTAACTATGGCAGCAGAAGTGTGGGGTTTAGTCCTTTCTCCTGCATTCTGTGCACGTCAGCCTTCTCTTTAATTCAGTTCTTCAGCCCTTTTCAACCTTGGACACATTTGCATACTGGTTTATTCGGAAGATTCCTACTGTGGAATGCACAGAAGAAAAGATGGGAAAGAAAGATGAGATATTAACCTGTACAGCACAGGGTGGTCCCGGTAACATCTGTGCACACCTTGTTATTTGCCCCTTTCTATCATTGTTTCATGTGTTGTGTTTGGCATGGGTGGAACTGAAGTTGTCGCTGGACCTCTTATTGCTTGACTTGCATGTAGATGGGCACCTCATGGGTGTAGTTACAGACTGAACAAACAGTGCTAACAAAGTCTCTTCCTTTTCGGCTGACCTTGGAGGTTGGTGACCTGTACCTGAAAGGGTATGGACATTTCAGATGAGCAGAGGTATTCTGTGATGTAGCAGTACCATAAACTGAACCAGAATTCATAAATTTTGCATAGGTAAAATCCCAAGATACTCATGTCAGGTGGAGTCAGTAATTCACAATTACCTGATGGTGTGTTTGGTCTGTCCAAATTACCGTGGTTGTCCAATTTACTCTATAACAAAAAATGTAATTTAACACTGGTGTACTGAATGGCAGTCATGGGAGTTAACAAGAAAAAACAAGCTCTAAATTATTCATGGCTTAGTGCAAGAGAGGTTTCACAATGGTTCTTCTGAAGATAGAGAAAAACTGTTACCTTCACATCCTACCTTTCTGATGTTCGTATTTCATTCTGTGAGAGGCAAAAGGAAATTCAAGGCCAACACTAATGTGGAAGTTTTTAAGAAGTCTTTAAGCTTTAAGGCTATAAACATACTCTCTTTTTCAACTATATTGTATTACCCTTTATATCCTAAGTTAAATTCTATGTTTGCATCGCTTTGCCTGAAAAAATGGAGTATGCCCTTCAGTATTGGTGGTATAGATGGGAATGCTAGCATGCGACATATCTGTTTACTCTGTAACTCTTGACATAACTGTCTTCTAGCTTCTTACTCAGGTCTGCTACCCTTTGACTTTATTACCAGTCTTACATTAGTACCAGCATTTTCTCCTTCATCTCCATCCTTCCTGCTGATGTTCTTTTTTCCTATTACTATATATTTGAGTACCAAAAAATAGTTTAAGCACAGATAGAACTTTAATATTGCCATTTAAAAAATGTTGAGAAAATGTGTCCTGGTTTTGGTTGTGATAGAATAACTTTTCTCTCTAGCTGGCGCAGTTTTTTAATATACTCTAAAAATAATGTTGATAACACACAAGATGTTTTAGCTGTTGCTAAGCAGTGCTTATCCAAAGTCAAGAACTTTTCAGTCTTATGCTCTGCCAGTGAGGAGGGGCACAAGAAGCCACAATGGAGAATAAGCAGGGCAGCTGACGAGAATTATTCAAGGGGATATTCCGTACCACAGTATGTCATGCTCAGTATAGAAACTGGTGGGAGTTGGCTGGAAGGGGCCTGATGGCTGCTTGGGGAAGGGGTTGGAACTCGTCAGTGGTGAGACAACTGCATTTTGCATGACTGCTTTTTCTTGGTGTTTGTTTCTTTCGCTTTTTGTTATCTCTCTTTTCATTATGATTATCATAGAATCTTAGAATCATCAGTTCGGGCTGGAAAGGACCTTAATATCCTCTAGTTCCAACACCCCTGCCACAGGCAGGGACACCTCACACTGAACCATGTCACACAGTGCTCTGTCCAACCTGGCCTTGAACACTGCCAGGGATGGAGCATTCACAACTTCCCTGGGCAACCCATTCCAGTACCTCACTACCCTAACAGGAAAGAATTTCTTCCTTATTTCTAACCTAAACTTCCCTGTTTAAGTTTTAACCCGTTAACCCTTTTCCTATCACTACAGTCCCTAATGAAGAGTCCATCCCCAGCATCCCTATAGGCCCCCTTCAGATACTGGAAGGCTGCTATGAGGTCTCCACACAGCCTTCTCCAGGCTGAACAGCCCCAACTTTCTCAGCCTATCTTCATATGGGAGGTGCTCCAGTCCCCTGATCATCCTTGTGGCCCTTCTCTGGACTTGTTCGAACAGTTCCATGTCCTTTTTATGTTGAGGACACCAGAACTGCACACAATATTCCAAGTGAGGTCTCACGAGAGCAGAATAAAGGGGCAGAATCACCTGCTTTGACCTGCTGGTCACACTCCTTTTGATGCAGCCCAGGATACGGTTGGTTTTCTCGGCTGCAAGTGCACACTGCCGACTCATGTTCATTTTCTTATCGACCAGCACCCCCAAGTCCTTCTCTGCAGCACTGCTCTGAGTCTCTTCTTTGCCCAGCATGTAGCTGTGTCTGGGATTGCTCCGACCCAGATGTAGGACCTTGCACTTGGCATGGTTAAACTTCATGAGGTTGGCATCAGCCCACCTCACAAGCGTGTCAAGGTCCCTCTGGATGGCATTCCTTCCCTCCAGCGTATCAACCGAACCACACAGCTTGGTGTCATTGGCAAACTTGCTGAGGGTGCACTCAATCCCACTGTCCATGTCAGCGACAAAGATGTTAAACAAGACCGGTCCCAACACCGATCTTTGAGGGAAACCTCTTGTTTTTGATCTCCAGCCGAACATTGAGCCGTTGACCACAACTCTTTGTGTGCGGCTATACAGCCAGTTCTTTATCCATCGAGTGGTCCACCTATCAAATTGATGTCTCTCCAATTTAGAGACAAGGATGTAATGTGGGACAGTGTTGAACGCTTTGCACAAGTCCAGGGAGATGAAATCAACTGCTCTACCCCTGTCCATCAGTTCCACAGCCCCATCATAGAAGCCCACCAAATTGGTCAGGCAGGATTTTCCCTTAGTGAAGCCATGCTGGCTGTCACCAAGCACCATGTTGTTTTTCATGTGCCTTAGCATGCCTTCCAGGACGATCTGCTCCAAGATTTTGCCAGGCACAGAGGTGAGAGTGACTGGTCTGTAGTTCCTTGGATCATCCATTTTCCCCTTCTTGACAGTGGGGATTATATTTCCCTTTTTTTCAGTCGTAGAGTACTCCACCGGACTGCCATGATTTTTCAAATACGATGGACAGTGGCTTAGCAGCTTCATTTGCCAGCTTCTTCAGGACCCGCGGGTGGATTTCATCAGGTCCTATACACGGTTATTGCTATATTGTACTTTATTTCAGTTATACTGTTCTTAACATATGGGGTTTACCTTTTTTCTGATTGTCTTCTGCATTTTCCCACGGTGGGAGGCTGGGTGAAGCAGGTGGTTGCATTTAATTTCTCATCGAAGAACTGGTGTCTAAGAGACTTTTTTACTTTCAGAGGTTCTGTGTCATTACGTGTTTCACATATATTACCAGCATCTCCCTGCTAGTCCCAAACTTTGTGTTCCTTTCCTGTGCTACAAATGTTAAATTTTGAATATATATATGTTTGGTCAGACAGAAGGTGATTGTAGTGTGTGTATGTTTTAATTTGTAAAGTAAAAATATATAAGCTTAGAATATGTTATAGCAAATCATGTAACTAGAGTTGACAATAAACCAGTTGCTGTAGAAATGATGAAGCAATAAATAATTTGTTTCCTTAATGGGGCTTTATATTTCTGAGGTGGTGATGAATTTTAAACAGGAAAATTCTAATAAGGAAAGAATATTGAAGAAATGAAAGCGTCATATAAAAAAGAGGTGCTATTATTAGGCAATGACAGAGATAGATGAAGGGGAGGAATATTCTTTGGCAAGAAGACATAATGAAATAAAGTAGCTGTATCAGGAAAGCCAGTGCTATGTCATCGTGTTAATATATTGATAAGTGATACTGTATGTATGTGCATATTTGCAAATATTTATTTGAACCTCACCAATAGCATATAAACATATACGTAGTAATACAGTCAATATATTGCTATAAATAAGAAATGTAAATCATATGTAAAATACGTAATCTATAATGATGCGTATCACAATAATTTAATAAGTAGTAGCATAATTTTAATACCAGGCAAAAATACTTCTCATTCTATTCATCTAAGAGTTTGATTCGCCATGAACATTGTAACACATTGATATAAAACAAGGTAGATTAATTGTTGGAGCAGTTGTTGACAGAGATTCATCTCATGGCAACTTCTGTCACTTAAGGCTTAAGAAAGTTTCAGAAGTACGTAACAGTTTTATTCCCATGAAATTTTCCTTCATTCTGCAAGCATTTGCTATGCATGTGAGGTTTTGTGATTTTCAGATTTTTCACACTCTCTACTCGACCTTTTATTGTTGCTGTTGCTTATAGGAGACTATTACTGTACCTTTGAATTCTAAGATTCAGTAAGTTGTTTTAAGAATTTCAAGGACAGTTCAGTGTTCATTTTACATTGTAAGTTTTTTTATCCAAGCTTGTGTTGGCCAATGCATTTCAACAGGGGAAGAAAAATGCAATCAACTCCGTGTCTAAAATACGTCTGATTGTGTAAGAGGCTTATCTTAAAAGAAATGTTGTTTTATTTGCAGAAAGCCATATTCTTGAGGACGTAAACAAGTGTATCATTGCACTGAGAGAGCAAAATGCAGACAATTTAGATCGTGCAGCAGGTGCAATCCGAGGTCGTGCTTCAAGAGTAGCTCATATTGTTTCGGGTGAGATGGACAATTACGAACCAGGGACTTACACTGAAGAAGTGATGTCAAATGTTCAGTATTTGACCAAGAGTGGTAAGTCTGATTTCTAAAATATATTCTTAGTTTGTTTCATGATATAAACTTCACTTTAAATACTTGTTTTAATTTCACATTTAAAGAGAATCCTGTGAATCTCTAATGCACTAGTGAGTCACTATATGAGCTCTAATCTGCTTTCAGCATGTTATTCAATTATGATGATATCATGCAGTTCAAAAACAAATAAGATTAATTTTAATATGCATACCAAGATACTATTGGTCCTCCTGGCCACAGGGCCATGCTGCCTGCTCATAGTCAACTTACCGTCTGCCAGTACTCCCAGGCCCTTCTCAGCAGAATTTCTTTCTAGTAGGTCAGGCCCCAGCTGACTGGAGGTCTTACATAAATACACATAACATGTTTGGAAACTTGTAACTGATGAGGCAGCAGCTTTCCACTTAGTTGTACTAGCCTCACCACATCTGTTGTAAGCAGATCAAAGGCAAACTCAGAGAAAGAGAAGCAGGGGTTGGAACTTGACGATCTTAAGGTCCTTTCCAACCCTAACTATTCTATGATTCTATAATTTTATGATTTATGGGTACTCCCACAAAACTTTAAGGACAGTTGAAAATTGGTTAAATATTCCTAAATAATTTCAGTTTTGCTAAGCAAATTTGGAACTTACTAAAATGGTAAATAATGTCCATTTACTTTTTCATAATATTAAAAAAGAAGATATCCTTTGTTGGAATATTCCTGTACTGTTAGGAGGGGTGTAACAGCAGTATTCTATAAATGGTTTCTGTGGTCTACAGCAGTTGTTGTTTATAGAAGTGAACTTTTCCTGCATATTTCACATTAAATATTAAATTATATTAATTATGAATATTAATTAGTAATTACTAATTACTAACTACTTTTAATTACTTTTAATTACTAATTACCAATTAATTACTAATATTAATTAGTAATTATATTAATTAATATTAACATTAAAATATACATTCATGTATATTTCATGACCTTTCATGTGTATTTCACAGTAAAAAATAGTGGAGCTCCCAGGACTTCCATGTCTTCATTGACAGCAAGTCTAATAGTCAGGCAGTTAAATAATTTACTAAGAAATTTTCTGGCAAGTCTGAACATCTTCAGAGTATAAGATTTAGCTTCATGAACTCAGAAGTCTAAATCCTAGCTCTTTCAGTCTAAACAAATTTCTTGTACCTTGTATTTGACATTTACTCTATTTTACTGCAAAAAAAGACAAAAATTTTGTTGGAGCTTTTTCTTCATCAGTTCAAATACATCCAGGACAGAACTGTCTTCATGTGAAAAGAGTGAACTGATATTGCAATAAATTAGCAGGAGGGACAGAACAGCGAGAAGAATTTGAAATAGACTTGAATGTTTTTATCATCTCTTCTGACATTTTGATAAGAAAATCTGAGAACTTTCAACATGACATTCTTCTTTTCATAACTTCTGAAACTGCTGTGACAAATACCAAGAGAATTAGCAGTTCTAGGAAAGCATGGGTTTTATACCCATGTAAAAGCTGAGCTCTTCATTCTTGAAACTGGTAATGTTTAAACACTGTTTTGCTGAGGTATCTCCATAGAGGAGCCTTCAATCCTTGAGTGAGGGGAAACCCTACGTCCAGGAGCCTTAGTTCTGAGTAGCGAGAGCTACTGAGGGAGCCTCAATACCTCAAAAGGTCTTGCCCAGGAGCCCACAGCTTTGCTGACGCGAGCAGGGGCTCACAGGGGCCAGTGCCAGGAGGGATGGCACTGCCCGGAGCGGGTAGAACACAGCCCAGGGGAGTGTGAGCGACCAGGAGTGCTGGAGCAGGGCGTGGTGCAGCAGTTGGCCCCGGCAGTGCGAGTGGGTAGCAAACAGGATGGGGAGCGCTCGCCTCAGGGCCAGGGCCTGGCTGCTCTGGCTGCCCCAGCAGTGGCAGTATCGGAACCAGACATAACCGGTGAGAGAGGAAGCTGCAGCGCAAACCTCCGAGTGTAGTTGGTGCTTCCATTTGTCTATGGAGGCAGGAGTGCATAATGGATAGGGCTGCACTCGGTGTGCCCAGTTAGAGGTCCTCCTGCAGCAGGGCCTGAGCTGCGGGACACTGTCAATAGGCTGAAAGATGTCAGGGAAGTTGAGAGGGACCTGGACTGCTTGCTCCAGGCCCAAACTGTGCAGGAGCCTCAAGTGTCCACCACAGGGCATACAGAAAAGGAGGGCATTAATCCAGGAAGCTGGGAGCTAGTAACAAATATAAAAACAACACAAAGAAAGGAGGAAGAGGAGAATAACAAGCAAAGGTCTTCCTCCAAAATCTGATTTCCCCACATAGAACTGATTCACAGCTCTGCAGGGAGCTAATAAGAAAACACACACCGCACCAAATGAACAACCTGCTGATGCACCAGTAAAGAGGACCACTGCTGGTGCACCCAAGAAAGAGTGGAGGGTTATAGTAGCAGGTGACTCTACTTTGAAGGGCACAGAGGCACCCATGTGTCTTCCTGACCCAGTCTTGAGGGAGGTGTTGCCTACCAGGGGCTCGGATCAGGGATGTTGCTGAGAGGCTGCCTGGTCTAGGCATGTAATACTATTACATACTTCTAGTGGTTCATGTGGGTGCTAGCGATACAGATAGCAGTAACCTGGACAACATTAAGAAGGACTCCAGAGCCCTGGGAGAGGTGGTTTGGGGTTCTGGAGCTCAGATAGTTTTTTTCATCAATCCTCCAGGTCAAAGAGGAAGAGCTTGAAAAGGCCAGGTGGATTTGGCAGGTTAATAAATGGTTAGAATGGTGGTGCCATAGTCAGGGGTTTGGTTATTTAGAATATGGGACTTGTTTTGGGAGGCCAGATCTACTGGAGGCTGGTGGAGCTGCTGACAAAGGGGAAGAGCTTCTTTGGCGGGAGACTTGCCAGGCTGGTCAAGGTGGGTTTAAACTAGATGTGTTGGGGGAGGGGGTCATCGATCCATTAACCACACTCCCAGTCAGTTGCCAGCATCTGTAATAAGTACTTGGAGCGATGCTCCAGCCCATGTGAGTCATCTTTATTTGGAGCTCGGCTCAGATGCCTCTATACCAATGCCCGTAGTATGGGAAATAAACAAGAGGAATTAGAGATGGGAGGGGGAGTTCCTATTTATGTCAGTGATAGGCTGGAAAGCATGGAACTTCATATGGGGACAGATGATCAGTCAACAGAGAGTTTGTGGGTCAGGGTCAAAGGGAGAACATCGATGGGGGACATCATTGCAGGGATCTGTTACAGACTGCCTGATCAGGACAACTCTGGGGATGAAGCGCTCTACAGACAGGAGCAGCTTCATGCTCGCAGCCGCTTGTTCTCAAGGGGGACTTGAAACACGCTGATACCTTCTGGAGGGATGGTACAGCCCGGCACAACCAGCCCAGGAGGTTCCTCGGTTGTGTGGAAGACAACTTCCTCTTGCAAGTAACAGAGGAGCCAACTAGGAGAGGGGCTATGCTTGACCTTGTGCTCACCAACAGTGAGGGGCTGATTGTAAATGTGATGCTCCAGGGAAACCTTGGCTGTTGTGATCACAAAATGGTTGAGTTTGAGACCCTCAGGACAGTGAGAAAAGCATGCATCAAGCTCACTGCACTGGACTTCAAGAGAGCAGACTTTGGCCTCTTCAGGAGCCTGCTCAGTAAGGTTCCTAGGAAAAACTCTAAAGGGCAGGTGGCCCGAGACTGCTGGTTGATATTCAGGGATCACCTTGGTTGCTATTCAAGGATCACCGAGCTGTTCCAAGCTCTGGAGCATTGTCTCCCGAGTAGAAGGAAGTGTGGCAGGAGGGCCAGGCGAGCTTCATGGATGGTTAAGGAGTTGCTGAGGAAAAACTTAGAGGGGAAAAAAGAAGTTTATAGAAGGTGGTAGCAAGGACAGGTGGCCTGGGAAGAATACATGGATGTTGTAACGTAAGCTAGGGACCAGATCAGGAAAGCTAAGGCCCAGTCAGAATGGAGTCTGGGAGGGGGTGTGAAAGATAATGAAAAGGGCTTCTATAGGTATGTAACAAATAAAAGACAGACTAGGGACAATGTGGGCCCTTTCTGAAAGCTATCAGGACAGCTGGCTACCCTGGATTTGGAGAAGGATGAGGTTCTCAATGACTTCTTTGTCTCAGACTTCACTGGCAAGTGCTCTGACCACACAGCCCAAGTGTTGGAAGGAAGATGAAGGGACTGTGAGAATGAAGAACTTAGGCCCACTGTAGGAGAGGATTAGGTTTGAGATCATCTTAAGAACCTGAATGTGCACAAGTCCTCGGGATCTTATGAAATCCATCCACGGTCCTGAAGGAGCTTGTGAATGAAGTTGCTAAGCCATTGCCCATCATATTAGAAAAATTGTGGCAGTCAGGTGGAGTAGTCTACGACTGGAAAAAGGGAAATATAACCCCCATTTTCAAGAAGAGGAAAATGGAAGACCCAGTCAATCTCACCTCTGTGCCTGGCAAAATCTGGGAGAAGTCTCCTGGAAGGCATGCTAAGGCACATGAAAAACAACAAGGTGGTTGGTGACAGCCAGCATGGCTTCACTAAGGGAAAATCCTGCTTGACCAATTTGGTGGGCTTCTATGATGGGGCTGTGGAACTGATGGACAGTTGTAGAGCAGTTGATGTCATCTACCCAGACTTGTGCAAAGCATTCAACACTGTCCCACACGACATCCTTGTCTCTAAATTGGAGAGACATCAATTTGATAGGTGGATCACTTGGTGGATAAAGAACTGGCTGGATGGCCACACACAGAGATTTGTGGTCAATGGCTCAATGTCCATCTGGAGACCAGTAACGAGTGGTGTCCCTCAGGGATGGGAGTTGGGACCGATCTTGTTCAACAGCTTTGTTGTTGACACGGTGTCCTGGGTTCAGCAGTAGCAGTCATTTTTTTCCTTCTTGGTAGCTGGTGCAGTGCTGTGTTTTGAATTTTGGCCTGGGAACAGAGCTGATAACAATGATGTTTTGGTTTGGCCAAGGGCTTTGTGAGCCTCATGCTG